GCAGCCTTTAGAGGAGGACTAACATTTCCTTCTGCATCCTCTACCCAGTGACTCTGACTGCTGGGAACATGTCTTGTTCTTGACCATTATTAGAATCAGGGCTACGTCTAAGGAAAAGACCTTTTTTTTTTTAGTACAATGAAGGAACAATTTTTTTTTATTATATGAATAACAAGAGCTCATGGAAAATTCTCAACAGCCCTCCTGATTGTGCCTCTGCTCCTTCTGGGTGTCCTTTCCCCAGACATGGGCTGCCCTCACAGGCATGCACATGCAGCTCTCTGGAGCTCTTCTTCCCCGCTCTCCTCTCTGGTGCCTTTCCTGTGAGCGACAGGAGCCTCCTTGAAAGCCACCCATATTTGAAAGGAGGATAGGGCCCAGCTTACAAACTGAAGTTCCTTCATTTACTACGAAGTTCCTTCATTTACAGTTTTGGAGTTGAGTTGTTAAATTTTTCTCATTCATAAGCCTGATCACCACCTTACTCCTTTGTTCATGTACTAATGTGTTTCAACGCTTCCCAGATATTCTACCAACATTTAAACATGCAACAAAGGCTGTGAAATCACCTGTGCCATATACTGGCCCGACAGCCTGTAGTACCTCAAAAAGTTCCTTGTGACTCTCCGGAAACACTGAGGTCATGTGTTTTCCTGAAGATTTTGCTGAGCCTGTGGCCTTATCCACCCCCCCCCCAGCACCACCCACCTCACCTCGAGACAACGTCGGCACCTGTGGGACCTGTCAGAGCAAGGTCCAGAGAGGCTGTCGTCTTTGACATCTGGTGCAGGAGTTGCTCTGGCTCTGGAAGGCTGCACACATTAGAGTGCATCCACCCCATAGGTGGTCCTGGGCTCCCCTCTGCTAGCATTTACTGAGTAATCCTGCTGTGTCTGGCTGTGGGCATCGCACTTTCAAATTTCATGTATTCTCCAGTGGTCACACTCCCACCAGTCAGAATCCCGGGGTAGAGTATTCAGAAGGGTATCATCTCTGAACTGAAAAAAAAAAAAAAGAGTCCTATTCTACTCCTACTCCTGTCCAACCTAACAAAGCTTAAAAGCCAGCCTCGAAAGGATCAAACTGTTTCCAAGTAACTTAACCATGTCCATTATTAGAATCAGGGCTAGTCCTAAGGAAAAATCACTTTTTTCTGTCCAATGAAGAAACAATTATTTTTCTATTATGTGAATAACAGAAGTTCATAGAAAATTCTCAACAGCTGCTAAGACTCCTCACAAGTGAGAATTAGATGCACCGGGGTCGCCCCCGGGAGATGAGTCAGTCCTTTTGCTCCCTGCTCAAGGCCTCAGGCCTCTCTCTTCAGAGCAGGGGTTTCCACCTGTGGGCCACAGACTTCAGGCCACACCTCATCTGATCTAATCCTCACAGCCTCTCTCTGAGGTATGAGTAGGGTTAGCCTCATTTTTCAGGTGAGAAAATTAGTGTTTAGAAATGCCCAGAAACTTGCCCAAAATCCCACAGCTGGCATTTGGTACAGCCAGGATTCCTGCCACACGTATCCAAAAGCAGGACCTTTAGAATTTGTCACTTTTCTTTGCAGAGTCACTAAGTCTCAGGATGACATGAGGCCTCACTTAGGGGCTCTTTCCTGAGATTTTAGGAGATAAAGACACAGCAACCCTTTGCCTGGCTCTTGGAATTTCACTTGTACTTTGAAAGCAGTTTTTGAGACTTGAGTTCCGATTCATTCAATAAAAGTTTTTATTATGGAATCACAACAGACATACAGATAAGGTATGCAAGTAATTCCTTTCATGTCTTCCTGCAGCTGGAGATAGAATGGATCTAATTTGTGTGCTCTTTATCCTTCTTGTCTGCTCAAAGCAGAGGTGCCTGTGTTGCAGGTCTCTTGGCAGGCAGACTCTGAACCTTTTTTTTTTTAACTGAAGTATAGTGAGTTTACAATGTTGTGTCAATTTCTGGTGTACAGCATAGTGTTTCAGTCATACATATACTGACATATATTCGTTTTCATACTCTTTTCCGTTATAGGTTACTACAAGATACTGAATATAGTTCCCTGTGCTCTACGGTATAAACTTGTTGCATTATCTATTCTCTATATAGCAGTTAGGATCTGCAAATCTTGAACACCCAATCTATCCCTTCCCACCTCCTTTATCATTCCCTCCTGATAACCATGAGTTTGTTTTCTATGTCTGTGAGTCTGTTTCTGTTTTGTAAATAAGTTGCTTTGTGTGTTTTGAGGTGGGGGGAGGCTGCTTCCGGAAAAGGTATGGATTCATAATCCACGGAAGCAGGGCCTGTGTATACTCAGGAGGCTGCACCTGAGCGGGAGAAATCACACAGGTTCTCTGTAGATGAACTTCACTTGACATCTTCGAGTCCAGTAGAGGCAAATCTGGTGTGGAGGGTTGCAGTAACTTCACCCCGTCAGTCATTAGGAGTGAGGCTGGGCCACATGGAGGGAGTGACTCAGCCAGGCCTGTGACCTGATATAGAGGATTTGGGGCAGGCTGTTCCTGGTCGTTTCCTCTCTGTAAAACTCAAGTTAAACAAAGACGTGCCCATGAATATTAGAAGGAATGTGACTGAATGGCAAGGGAAAATCTGATGAATAGCCTTTAGTCTATAGGTTTATGGAAATGAAGAAAACTAGTTTAACTCGAAATTTGAATTATCCAAGGACTGGTGTTCTTATTTGACATCTTAATCTTTTACATATTAGAGTATATATGTATGTTGGGACAAATGCAGAATTATACACCAATGAGCTTGTTTTGAGAGCTTCCCCCCCTTACTGTGAGTAAATGAATTCTGTTCTGTCTGAGGGTAGATCCAGCCCTATCACAGTTAGTGGAAATGCAGACCTAGCCAGGTGAGAGACATGTCCAGGCCAGAGTGGGATTTCTGAGGATCAGTGCTGATGGTGAGGGGGAGAAGGGAGAAAAACACTATAAAACTAAGCAGAAGGTGATGTGATGCCAGAGGACTTTGAGAATTTTACACATCGAAGGCAAGGAGGACTCTTGAGAACCGAATGATACCCGGAGAAGGCCAGGAAGCAGGCCATGCCCTGGAAGAAACTGATGATCCCAAACATACCTGACTGTTGGGCCATCCTAAACCCACATCACTTAGGACTAAATGTCTTGTTCAGCATTCTGTATCATCTCATACCATGTGTGCCTGTGCCCACCATGCTTCAGCTGCACAAACTACTTTCTGTTCCTCCAACTTGCCACACTCATCCCACCTCAGGGCCTTTGCATGTGCCACTCTGTCTGCCTAGAATGCCTGCCTTCCCCATGACCTATTTACATGATGGGTTTATTTACAGTCAGGTGTCAGTCAAATGCCACTTCTTTGTCCCTCCCATCTGCAGGAACCCTTTATCAGCCACTCTCTTTACATTAACCTCTTTTATTGTCTTTAATCAGTACTCATCACTCACTGAAATCATCTTGGTTTTTGTTGACTTAGAGTCTGAGTCCTCCTACTGGAATGTAAGCACTACAAGAATGGGACCTTTTTGTTTGTTTAATTGGTCTTTATATCCCTATTGCCTGAAGTAGTACCAGGCTCCTAGCCAGGGTTCAATAAATGTCTGTCCAGTGAGTGAATGCCTGGAGGGATGCACGAAGTCAGACACAGTTGAAGAGAACGCCACGTCATATATCAGCCAGAACAATCTGTGTGGTTACTAATCTGAGAATAAGGGGTCTGTGCTCTGGTGTATGTCTAAGCTTTGGTGGTGTGTTTTAAGTGCCTGACATTACTAAGGGCTTGATAAATGTTAAATAATGGAAGATCATTTTTACAAATTCTACTCTCATTTCAGCTAAACTAAATGAGTCCTTTGTAGACTAGGGAATTCAGGCTGCTCAGAGGGCAAGGCAAGCTTTGATAGGTCATACTCACAGGAAAATTAATTTCCTCAGTTGAGTTAAAAGATAATTGAATTTATTAGTAATTTTTTTAAAGTAAACCTTAAGTTGATAAAAAGGTAAAATAAAAAATCAGCATGCATATTAAGTTTGAATAGTTATTTTTAACTTAATAGTTTCAAAACTCAGCCAAAAAGCAAGTTTTTAAATTCTCATGGGCAAATCCTAGCTAACGTGTTGTAGTAGAATTCATTTACAGATGAGCCAGAGTCTGGTGTGTGGGTTTTGATGTATGAATAGGAGCTAAGATTAGCACAGGATTGGCACATGGCTTTCCCTGATTGCAGCTGAGACCAAAGGCTTAAAGCTGGAGTATGGGGCAGCTGTGGAACACTGGACACTGACCTGACCTCTCAGGGCGTCAGTCTCCTCACTGGAAAATAAGGTTGACATGGAGAATGAGATGGAAATGAATAACCCCAGTGCTGTATTCTTGTCTTCATTTCTTATGTCCAGTCCCTTACACTGAATCCATGTCTACACGGTCGTTATCAGAAGCTGTTAACACACCTTATATTTTGAAAGGAGACTCGTGATCTGGATAAGATTGAGGCCATCCCCTCCTTTCGCCATCTCCTACATCACGCCCGAGTTGCTGACTTTTTATCAGCCTCTTGTATTTCTATCACATTTGTGTAGGAGTTTTTTCTTCTCTTTGTTGATGGTAGCGCACGGATGCTTGGGAGAGACTGTTTCATCTACAGGTGATGCCTGGAAGCCTGGGGCTCCTGCAAAGGCCTCTGAAGGCCCTCAGATACCATCTTATAAAAATGTGTCCCCCTGCTGTTCCGATGACCTTCCTGAAGGGCTCTGAGAATGGTCAGCCAGTGGATACAAAGAGATTACAACTTGAGGACAGCAAGTTTTATTCAACATACTCTTTCTTTTTAATATTTATATAATCTTCAGGCAAAGATATAAAAAATGAAAAACATGTTCTTTTTTTGTGTGCTTAGTATGTTAGTCTGATTTTTGCTTGAAAAGATATTTGTATTGATATGAAAATTTGCACTTGACTACATTGTTAAGATATCTTCCTCCCTTGAAGGTAATATTTTCTATTTTCAGAAAAAAACAACAAGCCTCGGGGACAGTCAGCCCTCCAGAACCCATGCTGGTGAAACAGCCCTGGCCACCAAGGTGAGTCACTTCCTGAAAATGATGAGACCCCCTCCTCTACAGGTGTATCATTATTGGGTGGGGCTTATAGGGGAGGCAAACAGTGTCCTTATACTGCTGAAAGTTTTTGAACAAAGTATCCTTACAGTGATGAATTGGGGTTGGAATGTGATTTCTTAATAATGATTTAAATGATTTAAAACCTAGTAAAATCAAAAATGTTATTCTGACTGGCACATAATAATAAGTATCCAACAATATTGAACATTATCACAAACATCTGTACATAATATTTGACTTTTGTACATTCCATAAGTAGAAATATCGTCCTCCCATTTCTTCAGAAAATTATTCAAATTATCCTCATGTATATTAAACACACCAGGCTCTCTGCTAAGTATGCTATATAATTATCATATATAATCCCCTCACAACCTTATAATCATTATTCCTTTATATCTGAGGGAACCTGGGCTCAGAGAGCTTAAGTAACTTTAACATGATCACAAAGCCAGTAAGATGGAGGTGGGAGTCAAAGCCGGGTTTCCTGTTCACACAAGGTCCTAGACACGCTGGACCTTGTAAGCTCTGACTGAGCCTTCTTTGGTAATACGACTTCAAAACTTTGCAACATGTAAGAATCACTGAAATGTCAGCTTTCAAAATAAGCGGCTATTTTAGCTAGTAGTTTTCCTTATATAAAATAGGCCCAGCCCATTTCAACTTGTGATCTTCCAGTATGTCTAAGATTATCACAAACCATAACCTATTTCAGGACTGTCTAGACAACTATTGTAAATAGCATTTTTCCTTTAAAGCTGGTAGCTCTCCTATGGAGGTCTATGGACTTTCTCATGTATGTTACTTGCTTGTTGAAGAGTTCCTATCTTAGTGCCTCCTGGAGCCCTGGTTGATTTCCAAGCCCCTAAAAAGTGCTAAAACCAAAACAGCTGAGAAATGAGAAGAGGCTGGGCACAGAGCCCAGCACCCCAAATTAAGTGTGTGAGTTTTGCAGACCTTTCCAAATCTCCTTTTCTACCAGGCGATAAAAAGATAGAAATCATTGAAAGACTATGAATTTTAAATACAGAGAGTGAGTTGATATTTGAAACAAAACAGACTCAAAACTGGAGTCTGTTGTTTCAGCCATTCTGTTTTTGCTGTTGGGGTCATAACAGCACTGATGCTCACTGTAGGTGAGACAGCCTGCTCAGCCAAACAAACTCGAGTGTCCTCTTTGCCACTTATTATTGCAAGTTTACTTAGCCCTACTGAGCCTCAGTTTCCTCATCTGTAAAATGGGGATAGGATCTTTCTTGTCAGGTCTGCTGAGAAGCTTAAATGAAATAAAATATATAAAACACTTAGCCCTGGATCTGGCATTTAATAGGTGCTGAGAAAATGTATCTGCCGTGGTCACCCTTGTTAACCCTCATACTCTATTGTTTGGAGGTCTCTAACTCAAAAAAAAAAAAGATTTCTAGACATGTCCTATCTTTTATAGTATTAAGACCTTTCTTTAACTTATACTTAAATTACGCCTCTAAAAATGAGCAGCCTCATTAGCAAAACCCCAACCTCATGAGATTTAACGAATCATTTGTAAATGGTTTCTAGAATTTTCATTACCTGCACTCTTGGAGGGTCAATACCTCATGGAAAACCACCCTCGGTTATTTTTTTCTTGAACTTAGTGGTAAGAAACAGTCCTTTTCCATCTGTTTTTCCACACAGGAAGTTATCATCCAATCATTTCGAGGCGGAAAGTTCATAAGGAAGTTGGCCATCCTCCCCAAACCCTGCTCTGTCTCAGGAAGCTGTGGGAAGGGAGTGTAGCTGGAAGATGGAGACAGTTAGCCACATAGTTATGTTTCAGTATTTACTGGCAAGCTTGTAATTCTTTCCTTGGCTTCTGAAATGTTGCCCTTTGCTGCCTCCATTCTTCTTTCTCCTGTTGTTCTTTCTCACTGTGGTCTCCTGACTCCATTTCCTTCCCCAGTTTCCTGAATATTAGTTTTCCCAAGGATTTAATTCTTCATTTCTTCTTTTCTGTGTCTTTAACTCTTATAGAGTATTAGAAGAAAAGAACATATATATATACTTTGTTATTTCTTCTTCTGATGCCAGATTGGAAGGGCTCAGTATCCTTATCGCTTAAAAATGACTGTTCCCATGCACTGTTTAGAAAAGCTGGGGGTAATAGCATTTGTGAACACTTGAAGCCTTTTATTACACAATTAATTATCATAACACACACAAGTAAATAATATTCTTCTGACACATGACATGACAAAATAGTAGATACATTTGGCAGTGAGAATTTGCCCTGGTTTTCTTGATTCTAGATACATTCGACTTGAAAGTCAAAATAAGTGGCAATTTTATAATTAAGAAAACCTTAAAGTCTGTATTAGAAATTCAATATTTAATTTGAAGCTATGTGTAAGCTATGTATTTTAGAATGATTATCATGTGTTGCAGAACCATTTTATGAGAATTCTTACAAAATCAGTAATTGTGTGCACAAATAATATCACTTCTGCCAGGTGGTTCTGGGCTTGGAGGATCCAAAGCACTTAAGTGGCATAAATTTTTCTAGCTCAAAATAATTATTATAGGATGTTTAGTGATTAAAATTAAATTTTTGATAAATTAATAATGAGGACTAATCAGACTGTAGAAATATACAGACTCTGATAAAAGTCAATAAGAAAATAGTTGTGATCCATAATCAGTCGTGCAATTATATGGCTGGAAGAGCTCTCAGGCAACTTCTGCTGTAACCACCAACTTGTTCAGGTGAGGAAGGCGAGGCTGAACTTGCATTTGGAACATCTCTGCAGAAGACTTCAGCTATTATGATGTGTTGGTTAAAGTTATTGGTTCCAATTGAAATCTGTTCTAACTAGTCCAAGCTAAAAAGGAATTTTTTAAGGGATAGCAGGTAGCTCATAGAGAAATACAAAGGCTCCAACAGAAGGAATCTAGTTTTGCAGCCAGAAACAATGTCCCACCACAGCGTGGGAGCTTCTCTTTGTTGACACTCTAGCTTAGCACCTATTGCATTTAGGACCAGATGTGAAGCTCTGGCACTGCCAATCTTGAAGACTGAAAGGCCTAATAGCACAGATCTGCTGGTGGGCAGCAGCCTCTTCACCTGCTTGCTTGCTTGCTTGCTTGCTTTCTTTCTTTCTTTCTTTCTTTCTTTCTTTCTTTCTTTCTTTCTTTCTTTTTTTAATTCAAGTATGGTAAATTTACAATGTGTTAATTTCTGGTGTACAGCATAGTGATTCATTTATATTTATATATATATCTTATTCTTTTTCATTATAGGCTATTACAAGGTATTGAACATAGTTCCCTGTGCTATACAGCAGGAGCTTGTTGTTTATCTATTTTACATATAGTAGTTAGTATCTACAAATCCTGAACTCCCAATTTATCCCTCCCTACTCCTTTTCCCCCCGTTTTCTGTGTCTATGAGATTGCCTCTGTTTTGTAAATAAGTTCATTTGTGTCCATTTATTTATTATTATTATTATTATTTTAGGTTCCACACATAACTGATATCATACAGTATTTTTCTCTTTGTGGCTTATTTAGTATGACAATTTCCAGACCAGTCCATGTTGCTGCAAATGGCATTATTTTATTTTTTATGGCTGAGTAGTATTCCATTGTGTATATATCCCACGTCCTCTTTATCCATTCACCTGCTGATGGACATTTAGTTTGCTTCCATGTCTTGCCGGCCCACTTTCAATCCCACTCTTGTAAGGCCTATCTGATTGGCCAACTCAGGTCACATGCCTCAGCCCGGCTGCAAGGGAATCTGGAGTTGGGAGTGCTCTGTTCTACTTTGAAAAAGTGCATATACTGATTAGGTGGGAAACTACCCCTATGTAGTGGGGTTTTCAAATGTGTGGGCAGCTATCCCATTGACATATCCGCTACAGAGAGGGAAACAGGAGAATTACCTGATTGAACCAGAGGAGAGCATTGATGATAGGTTGTTTAGCAATATTAGGCCTTTCAACAGAAGAGGTGAGAAGATCTGCAAAGGAGTAAGCACCCACCAGAGAAGTCCTGTGGTTTTGATCCTGGTTCTGCCATAAGTTGCTTTGTTACCTTTGGCAGCACAGCTCTCCTCTCAGGCCCTTACTTTTCTCGTGGATAATATGAGTGAGGGGCTGAATAAACTGTGTTGTGGAAAGTATTCCAGCATTCAGTGTCAGCCTCTCCCAAAGAGCCTATGCCGTGAGTGAGATGACTCTGTATGTTAAGCAGGCAAACATGTTTTATTTTAATAATTCTGCATATATTTTCATGTGTTTTACAAAGTAAACTAGCCCTTCAGACTCATGATCCCATGGACAGTTTTGCTTAAGACAAGGCTAGATGAATGGTTAAAAAGTAAATCTACTTTTAAAATATTAAGTAAATATTTGGTAGGTTGTGTACAAATACCCAAAGTTTGGGCAACAAGATCCAGAGCAGTAATTCTTATGTTTTAATATGTGTATAGAATCAGTGAGGTTTTTATTAAAATGAAGATTCTGACTCAGGAAGTCTGCAGTGAGTCTTTCTGCTTTTTTTAACAAGCTCCCAGTTGCTGCTGCCGCTGCTGGTGTGACAACCACATTTTGAGCAGCAGGGATGCTGAATTGTGCTGACTGTGGGTAGTTTAGACTGCCTGTACCTCAGATCACCTAAGCACTGGTTAGAGAATCTGATTAAAATGCAGATTCTCTGATTCTAAGCCAAGAAATTCTGATTCAACGCGGGGAAGAGGTAAGATCCAGGATTTACTCTGTGTAATAGATACCACCCAGATGTGGGTGATGGGAGTGCCACACTGGGAGAAAGGATGAGCCTTGGGGACTGGGATAGACATCATATCAGGGAGCAGTAATGTCCCTCTTCATTTCCAAGGAAAGGAGCCCCTTTCTACCTGTCCGGCAGGTTAAGAGTCTTTGGAAAATGTATTTCATAATGTAATTACTCATCTGTACTCTTCAGGA